CGAGGAGCGCTAGCTCGAAACGTCGTCTTCCATATTCCAGAATTAAAAATGTATTAAACTTGGCGATGAAACGTCGTCTTCCATATTCTAGAATTAAAAATGTATTAAACTTGGCGATGAAACGTCGTCTTCCATATTCTAGAACTAAAAATGTATTAAACTTGGCGATGAAACGTCATCTTCCATATTCTAGAATTAAAAATGTATTAAACTTGGCGATGAAACGTCGTCTTCCATATTCTAGAATTAAAAATGTATTAAACTTGGCGATGAAACGTCGTCTTCCATATTCTAGAATTAAAAATGTATTAAACTTGGCGATTTTGTAGAGTAAAATTTTACGATTGGAAATTCTGGTTCTATTTGTTTTGCCACTGAGGAAGCCAGTAATGCAGGGATTTTATTCTCATTGTAAAGTCGAGACAGCTTAGTCGGCTATGTGATCATTAGCCGGATCAAGTGATATGTCCACTTCTATCCCTATCCTGTTTGGTAAATTTTTTTCAAGTTCAGTAGCCAGACCTACATAGCTTTTTTTATTTAGCGATAAATTTGTTTTTTTATACTGGTTTGTTTACTGTTTTATAAGATTGCTTACGTAGGTTTCTAGGTTTATGGGTGTATTTTAAAGTTTAATAATTTTTCATAAGATAATAACAAAATAGGTAACCGAAGATCGTTAAAAATGTTTTGCTCTATCGAATGATGATACAATTATAATTACTGCTGAAACTAGGTAGGCGTTAGGTCTGTTGAAGAAAGATTATAATGAACGAAAATAAGAAATCTCAGGTTTGGCTACTTACCGGTTTCGACTTTGGGACGCTCTAGATAGCTGAAAACCGGCATATACACCGGAGGTAGAGCGACTATGCCAGATAGCTTTTTGTATCCAGCTTCTGTAATGTGTAATGATTTGTTTTTTACTCCTTAACTTCATATATAACATAGGGATTGGCTCCCTAAGGCCATCGACTGTATAGTGTACAAAGCACTGAGTATTGTATATATTACAGTCATCTAATGTTTATCTCTTATTGGCTGGTAATTTCTGTTTCACCCTGTACTTAATCTTTTTAAAGGAACACCAGATTTCTGAAACAACAAAACTTCAAGGGGTAATAGCATTGTTTATACTAGAATTATGATTTTTCTTCCTTTTTAATTTGCATAGAGTAATAATATAATAGGTAGTCAAAGATCGTGAAGACTATTTTGCTCTATCAAATGATAAAATTATAGTTACTACTAGAACTAGGTAGGCTTTTCAGACAGAGCAACTGTGCCAGGTAGCTCGTCATATCTAACCTTTGATGACCTGTAGAGAAAAAAAAACATAGATTAGTTTGTATTGCTTTAATACGATCGTCCGCGTCATCCCTACATAGAGAATGCTAGCGCACTTTCAGAAAAAAAAAATATATATTTCATTTGAAGACAAAATATCAGAATCAATTCTAATCAGCGAGTTTGTCGATCATAGCTTACTGAAGTTATGTTATTACGTTCCTATAATAGTAAAAATCCAAGTTTAAGCCTTAATTTTGTTTTAGTAGCGAGCGAAAAAAATAGCTCGTAAGTGATAGTTAATTATAAATAATTAAATTCATTCTTTAACATTGATAAATAATTTCATCATACAACAACAACAACATGTATTTACTCAATTATAACACATTCTTTAAAAAATAATTTGCCAATTGAAATTACTTTAAAAAAGTATGAGCTCTTTACGATAAGAGAACGTAATGCATACAACCAGTTTTAGAGATATGAACTCTAGTGTAATCTCAAATTCTTTTAAAACAAATATCTTCTTGTGGAAGGAGGATGAGTTATCTAATACATTATTCGAATTTGGAAAGTAAACGCTCTAGTATTCCTTGTCTTAATAGTAGTATTTATTGTCCTTGACATCTTCCGTTTTATTATAGTGTTCATACAGGTAAGTGGCGCTAATGGGGATTGGGATGTCAATTTCTGAAAATAAGTATTGTTTATCAGCTTTCGTGGTATATTTTAATAACGTTTCCTTCTTTTAACTAGCCACAGACAGTGAACGGTAGTATTAAATATGGGATGTTGTGGTGCTGTTTATCAATATCTAAGTATTACGTCATTTATAACTTATATTTTCACATCATAAGGATTAAATCTCATAAGACAACGTATCCTTCCTGGTGTATTGCTGCCTAGATTATTTGGCATGTGTACATATAATAGGAAAAATAATAGTAGCAATTTACACAGAAACAGAATAAAAACGATAGTTAAACATATAAATTAATAAATGAAATTATAAAATAAATGCTAATTCATAGTTAGGGCCTTTATCAGCTGCTTTCATTAACGAACCACTCATGAAAGATAAAGGACTAAATAATTCTATTTAGAAGTAAAAGAAGATATACATGATCCTATGTTCGTTTTCACAGATAGCGTACAAACATCAGCAGTGAGAATACCATTTACAATTTACTTTATTAGTTATTCAATACTAAACTATACAAACATCAATACACGCACATAGAGTTACACCCAGAAATGCTAATATATATACCCACACACGCACATATATTTATGTATATATAGGATGTCCCAAAAGTAAAATCGTATAGGGAAATGAGATCTCCACGGAAACACATCAAGCAAATCATGTGAAAAGTCACATTTCCCTATGGACATGACTTAACAACCACATACATACACACTGTCTATATATATATATATATATGTAAGCCATCAAAATTATTATTGTGACTTAATTTGCATCCAGTTGTCAGTTGGGTATCCTGGATGATAGCAACATTGTAAGTCGTAAGTACAGTTCATAGAACTTGTTTGTTTGTAGTTAAGTACAAAGCTACACAAAAGGCTATCTGTGCTCTGCCCACCACGGGTATTGAACTCGGTTTCTATCGTTGTAAGTCCGCAGACATACCGCTGTGCCACTGGGAGGCTCATAGAACTTAGTAAATTGTAAGCTAGCGTACCATATGATGCACCTAACAAATAGCTCAACTATTCCAAACAAATGCAGGTGAAGTAGGTTCAATTCAACCTGTCAGTAAGTTAATTTTACACACATTTATAGGCTTTTGATTATTTTATATTTGTAATGATAATATTGCATTAATTTATAAATTAAATAGGTAAGAAATGTGTTTCAGAATTACTGAGCAATAGCCAACCCTTTTTATGTGAATACAAGATACACTTAAACAAATATATAACTTGATCGCCGTTAATAGTTATACTATATTTAAGAATATTCAAGATCCGTTCATTTATGCTCAATTTTTCATCTCTATACCTTGAGACAATCCCAGTGACTATAGTTTGAAGACTGTCTTTTACCCCCCAATAAATAAATACAACAAACGATAACTAAGGTACATATCAACACTCTTATAGTACTGTCATATGATTTGGTTTGTTTGGATTGTTTTGAATTTTTTTCAAAGCTACACGAGGGCTATCTGCGTTAGTCGTCCTTAATTTAGGAGTGGAAGTCATCACCATCCACCACCAACTCTTTGGCTATATTTTACCAACGAATAGTGTGATTGACCGTCACTTTATAACTCCCCCACGGCTGAAAGGGTGAGCATGTTTGGTGTGATGGGGATTCGAACCCACGACCCGCAGATTGCGGGTCGAGTGCCCTAACCACCTGGCCATGTACCAACATGGGATGTTATTGTAAGAGTGATTTTTCTGTCAACCATACCTCACTTAGTTCGAGGCAATTTATCCCTTTTAAAATTATTTGGTTTCTCTGATAATAAATGCGTGAATTTCATAATTAATTTTTAACTCGTACAAAATAATTTGTTTCTTTCAAAGTTACATATTTTATGTAAATATTATATGTGAAAAATTGAGCAGTTATTTTAAAGTTTGATCTCGAACTCTGCAGCTTAATTTGGCCATTAATTTCTTGATGCTTTTATGTAGTTTTTCCAAACCGTTTATCTTTATTATCTTTATTGACTGGCCCGGCATGGCCAGGTGGTTAGGACGCTCGACTCGCAATCTGCGGGTCGCTGGTTCGCATCCCCGTCCCACCAAACATGCTCGCCTTTTCAGCCATGGGGGTGTTATAAATGTGACGGTCAATCCCACTATTCGTTTGTAAAATAGTAGCCCAAGAGTTGGCGGTGGGTGGTGATGACTAGCTGCCTTCCCTCTAGTCTTACACTGCTAAATTAGGGACGGCTAGCGCAGATAGCCCTCGTGTAGCTTTGCGCGAAATTCAAAACAAACAAACAAACAAACAAAACTTTATTGACTGAGGTTTAAATATTGTATTCTTCATTAGAAACATCAACGGAGGATAATCCTTCTAAGTAAGCTATTAAGAAACATTCGAGTCACAGTGTATCACTTCATGTTCTATTATTTTCATCCAGATATCCTGTTATAATGAGGATAGATCAAGAACGCTAACTTTCCGCTTGGATCGTTAAGGCCACTATTAAAATTTATGGTTTTGTATAGACTAATAGACGCTTTCCATCGTGGCCAAAAAATAAGTTTTTAAATAAGATTTATGCTGATTTATTTTATATGTTTAATTTTTATGCTAAGTTTTACACGATTAAATAAAGTTTTTTTCGTAGTCATAACTCTAACAAAGTGCGTTTTTACAGTTTGTTCTCTGAACGTCCGTATTAGTAATCTTAATTGTTGTCATTATTAGTAGCTATATGATCAGCTAAGTTTAATTATTAGTCAGACTTAGTCGATCTTATAGGATACTAACTAAGGCAACGATCGATATTCAATAGCCACAACCTTACCGTAGAGTAAGTATTTATGAATAGGTTTAGTTTTACATTTTAGTTTCACGTTTTTAGTTTTGAATAAGATTACCTAAAATTTTATTGTAAATTTATTGATTCCTACTCTAACTAAATGACAAATAATGTGCAACTATATCAATTTATTAGATAAGGTACTAGTATAACATTGAAACGTATGTGCTATATCACTTTCAGGGAAGTGTCCGACTGATCCTCTTGGCACAAGAAGTAAACAAAACATAAACGAATCTAGCAAGTTTCATGTAATTTGAACTTCAACAATTTGACCAGATGCCGCCCAGAAAAGGACTCCTTGCTCCGCAAAATACTTTCCTGGACACCATCGCTACTCGGTTTGATGGCACCCGTAAGTAAAGCTTGCTTTAAAATATTATGATTGGTTCCGCGGTTATCTGTACTTGGTTGTTTTTATGGTTATGGGGATTCGTTGAATTCGAAACCAAATGGTTCTCAGAAGGATCATTATTATGTTGAGTTCAAGCCATATTAATCCTTAGTGAAAATGTCCGAAAAAAAAGTTGTTATTATTCAAAGAAGTTCATGCTTCTCTAGTTTTTGCTTAATTTAGTTATTTCAATATTTTGTTTAAAAAAATAACAGAACTAATGAAGAAAGTTGATAGTACGTTTTTAATATTTCCTCTCCTTGTTTTTACGTGTTTATTATGCCCTGTGGCTATTTTTTATGGATTAGAGTATAAAGTTAATTAAATTGAACTATAGGAAGATGAAAGCGATGTATTTAAGTAAAACTAATAATAATAAGGTTATTTTTGGTTTTCTATTATAACTTGACTACAACCATAGCGCAAATGCTATTTCTTTTTGTGTTTTTTTTCTTTTATTTTGATTACTTTGCTTTTGTATGATTAGATCTTTTTAAACCATAATTTGTTCTGAATCCTCAAGAATATCAAAGGTAGTGTTTGAATTGATGTTTATTTATCACAGTGATCTATATACTTT